GGTTAGTCAAGGCCTCATCAAGGCCTGCTTTCCTGGCCATTTCTTGGTTTCCCATGAAGCCTCTGGGGCCCAGGCTCCTGGCCCAGCGGAGCCCTGCCGTCACACCTCTTATTCTTTGTGTTTTAGGGGACTTGATAATACGACGACACACTATACAGATTGCTGAGTTTTACCGTGACCTCCTGGCCAAGTCCCTGTACGGCCGCCTGTTTGGCTTCCTGGTGAACACCGTGAACTGTTGCCTGCACAGTCCAGAGGAGCAGGAGCACAGAAGGTAGGTACCAGGCGGCCACCCGCTCTGCTCCTGCTGCAGGAGACTGCCAGGCTCTGCTGTGACAGATGCTCCCTGGTACAGTGTGCCAGTTCCTTCTAACAAGTCCCTTTACTTGAAGGTCTTAGGGATTGTTCTTCAGAGGTGCGGCCCCCCTTCCCACCCACACACCTGTTGAAGGGCTGAGTCACCTGGTAGACACAGGTGTGCCCACGCACTCTCTGGAGTGAAGGTACACAGGCCTTTGGCTCCAAGAAATGTCAAGGTTCTGTGAACCTAGGAGACCGTCTCAGGGCACCGGCAGCTCTGGTGTGTGGGCAGTCCAGATCGCTCTCAGAACTCTTCAGTGGTGTGCGTAATTCCTCCTCTTCTTTCTCCACTTGGATTATTTGACAATGGTCTCTGAGGTAACCATCTTGGCTCATGCCCCTAATCATCTTTAAGCAGAGGCTTTTCAAGGCCATTTGATCATCTAAAAAATTATAGATTTCCATGGCATCTCGTCAATAGAAGACTTTGTTACTATCCTTGCCACCGATAATGACCTTGAGCAAACAATTAAAAGGAGAATTACATCAAGCAGTCTTCACAGTGTGCTTGTCTTTGAATGAAACCCTCTGAGAATTTTCTTTTTGTCCACATAGGCTTCTTTACCAAATTCCTGACCACTGCTGCCTTCACAGGTTTCTTGGAAACCATTAAAACAACAACATATTAATGGGAAAGTTCTCAAGTAAATGTGGATATCTCAAAAAAGGTTTCAAGTTCAAGGGGATACCACATTCTTATTAAAATGTGCACATTTAAAATCCCACTGCACATTGATCAGTGTATTCAATACATGGCCTGTGGTTTAGGGTAGCTGTGGAATAATCTACATTTCAGCAGAAATACCCTAGTGTTCTGTGTGATGAGGCCTCCAAAGTTTGCTGTTATTTCAGTTATTTGTGATTTTCCTTTATGATGATTATTCATAGAATGTTACTTATGTGCTAAATTTGCCAAATGAAACTTGCATAAAATTATTGGCAGCCTTGCTGAAGTTGTCATTGGTAAATTAATATGAAATTATTATATAAATGCAGCTGTACATAGAAACTTCCATAAAATTTCCATTTGACATTTAAATTTTACAGAGCCTTGCATTTATGTAATTAGAAATATTTATACATGGTCTAGACATTTGAACAAGTACGTGCATGCATACGCACCTCCTGAAATGTAAATATAAATGAAGAAAAGCATGATTTCCCTTCAGTGGGAAATTTGCTAAACCGAAAGGAATGAGTGCAGGAATTAATGGGAAAATATAAGTAAACGAACATCTGCTGTGTGTAACTTCTTAGAGGGAATTCTGGTTGGAGTCATGACTCCTATTTTCCCCATTCTTCCTCTTCTGTGGGTCGCCCAAACTTGGATCTGTATCCACAAATAAGGCAAGGAAAGGTTGTGTTTGTAGTATTCCTAACTCTCAGAGATTCAGGGGAAGCTTGAGGTTTTGCAAATGTACAGATCCACTTTTAAGTCACAGAAAGTCTCAAAAATTTGGGTAACTTTAGACTTTTATTGTTTATCCATCCCTTGAAATTTTGTGATCATGTCAGAAAAGATAATCAATTTAAAAACGTTAACCCCCATGGCTGAAGTTGGCAGGCATGTTGGAATCGATGGCGCAGGCATTTCTATACTCTATCGGCAAATTTTCAAGAGAGAATCCACATAAAGAGGATCTGTTCTAATAAGTAACAAAGGGAAAACAAGTGGGACCAGCTGTCTTCTCTTGGAGGGTAACCCACTTCCTGGGTCACAGCAAAACAGGTAGAAGGTGAATGATACGTTACATTTCAAACAGTTGTCCTTGTCCCCCTCGATTCCCAGTAGGTTTCTTTCTAAGTGGGAACCCTGGGGGTAGCCCAGGTGAAGTGTGATGAGCAGTTGATGAAGAGGAGGGAGTGGTTCCACTGTTGTGGCCGGGCCTTGGCGTCTGGGCAGCTACCTGTCCCGGACTCTGCACACGGGGCCACCTGGCCAGCAGCCACTGTTCAAGGGCCATGTTTAGTGGTCTCATGATTCAAGAATCGAAACACACGGACATTCATTAGGTCTAATTCAAAACGATTTAGCCCAAGAAGGCAGAAAGACATCCTAATGATAGCAATAAGAACAGCAACAGGGCTGGAGATGTGGCTCAAGCGGTAGTGCGCTCGCCTGGCATGCGTGCGGCCCGGGTTCGATCCTCAGCACCACATACCAACAAAGATGTTGTGTCCACTGAGAACTAAAAATAAATATTAA